GTTTCAAATTGGTAAACTGTGCTTTAAATGTTACAAACTATGTTAAATTTGTCTAAACATATGAATAAGTTAAAATATCACAACTAATTGTTAAACTACTAGGTTCTTTTTTAAAGACTTTATTTATTTGACAATAGGAGACACAGTGAGAGAGGGAACACAAGCGGGGGGGGGGGTAGAAGGGGGAGAAACAGGCTTACTGCCAAACGGGAAGCCCCATGCAGGGTCGATCCCAAGACCCTGAGATCCTTACCCAAGCCAAAGGCAGACACTTAACAACTGAGCTATCCAGGCACCCCTAAACTACTAGGTTCTCAAAGTTAAATCAGTTATAACATACAAAGGGTATTACTCTAAAAGGTATATGTTATGCCAAGAAATAAGAAGATATTGTAGATGTGGTCACAAGTCAGCTGTAGCTAAAAAAGAAAAATATTTACTCGAGAACTCCTCTATGTCATGACTTACCATAATTCAGAGCAAAATGTTTATGTCTGTTATTAACATTAAACTGAAAGGGAGAAATAACACACCCTGAAATTTGAATGAAAATTAAAAAAAAAAAAAAAGAATGAGCTACCTTATGGTATTTGTTTTCTAGGCTGCTAGATGATGCTAAAAATAAAATTTCATGATCTTTATAAAATCTGAGAAATTAAACTACCGTATATAGACTACACTTATGGAAAAAGTCATCACATCAAGAATTTAGTAAAGACTTTTTTTTTTTTTATTTTTAAAGATTGTATTTATTTGGGGCACCCGGGTGGCTCAGTGTTGGTTAAGCCTCTGGCCTTCAGCTCAGGTCATGATCTCGGGGTCCTGGGATCGAGCACCACATCGGCTCTTGGTTTGGCCTGCTTCCCTTCCTCTCTCTGCCTGCCTCTCTGCTTACCTGTGATCTCTGTCAAATAAATACAATCTTTAAAAAAAAAAAAAAAAGATTGTATTTATTTGACAGAGAGAGAGAGAGAGATCACAAGTAGGCAGAGGGAGAAGGGGAAGCAGGCTCCCCGCAGAGCTGAGAGCCGATGTGGGGCTGGATCTCAGGACCCTGAGATCATGACCTGAGCCGAAGACAGAGGCTTAACCCACTGAGCCACCCAGGCACCCCTTTTTATCATAATATTGATACTATCATAATATTGATTCAACTACCTGATCAAATAACTCAGGTTAGTCTAAATGGTGGTTTTCTTTGGGGGAAGGAGAGGATATAGCTTAAACACTGAAAAGTGTAATTCAGGGACACCTGGGTGCCTCAGCTGTCAAGCATCTGCCTTCGGCTCAGGTGGTCCTGAGATCCAGCCCCACATTGAGCTCCGGCCCAGCCCTGGGCTTGCTGCTTAGCGGGAGGCCTGCTTCTCCCTCTCCCACTCCCCCCTGCTCGTGCTCCCTCTCTCTGTCTCCGTTAAATAAATACAATCTTTACCAAAAAAAAAAAAAAAAAAGAGTAACTCAAGTCAGTTTCCACAAAGAAGTTAAACCACATTAAAATGTTTCATTTGGGGGCGCCTGGGTGGCTCAGTGGGTTAAAGCCTCTGCCTTCGGCTCAGGTCATGATCCCAGGGTCCTGGGATCGAGCCCCGCATCGGGCTCTCTGCTCAGCGGGGAGCCTGCTTCCTCCTCTCTCTCTGCCTGCCTCTCCGCCTACTTGTGATCTCTGTCAAATAAATAAATAAAATCTTTAAAAAAAAAAAAAAGTTTCATTTGAAAAAAGATTTCAAAATGGCTTATCAGAGATATTATCATAGTTAAATTACTCTAGAAGATCAAGTTATTTTCTTTTAAATCAATGTTTTGTTATAAACAAGTATCATCAACAGAAATAAGGATAAAACAAAGATTATGAAGAACTTTTTTCTTCACCTATACTTGTTAGATCAGTTGCTGGAAGATGACAGACCCTGCATTCTACAAATTTTAAAGTCAAGCAAAAACTACAAAACCAATATTCCCCAAATCTACCCTATTTACCTTCACCATTTAGTCTGAGTACAAAACAGTGGGATGGAAAATATATTACATTTCCAGGGTCTACCTAGTATCTGAGAATTTTACCTCATAGACAGTCAATTCCCTTAATCTGCAATACCACTGATATAATATATAAAGTATATTTCTACCATAAAACTTTAAAGCTACTAAGACATTATTTGGTTTCAACCCAAATTCTGAAATTAGCTAAGAAAAAAATAAGAAGACTCAAATACAATGTAGGAAAAAACACAATGGATATCCAGAAGTACCCATATTCCCCCAAATTATCTTACCACTAACCATAATTTTATATTTTATGTTTAGTATTACTTGAATAAATTTTGTTATTCAAATTCTGGAATTTAGAAAGTTTATTCTAACTCTGACACTGTCAGTTGTTTCCCAACTAACTTTTTCTTAAAATCAGTGAACTGTGAAAGGCATAGTTCACAGAAAAAGTAAAATACATTATATTTTAATAAGTTAATTTTATTCACTTTATCTTATGAAAGAGCACTTACATCTTATGAAAGACTACTATGGAGTTAGAATTATACTATTTTACTACTTTTAGCCTAGGTAATGTCACAAGATACTTTAAAATAGTTACATGTAACATACAAGTTTTCATACAATGTAGATAATATGTGTAACTAACACCAATGGGAGGAGATTCACTGTCAGTATCATGTGTAATAAAAGAAATGTTTACCAACTCATTTACAAGGGCATGTTTAAAAATTGAGCCAATGGCGAAACAATTGTTAATGCATCTCCACAATCACTGAACTACACTATGGCAAATTCTACACTTCCAAGAGTGCCAAAAATCTATCGGCATCAAATTTTAATTCAAAAGACTTCGTAAAAAATGTACGATAGGAAAATAAATTTTCACGAGAAAACCACTTTTTCTGAACTTTTTAACTTGTGAATCAGATATTCTTAGAAGCACAGCTATTTAGACATACCATTCCTTCAGATGATGTAATCTCAAGGGATTTGGTAATTAGAACATGTTAATTACTTACATAAAATAATATTTATTGCCACGACTATCAGACAAACTTTAAAAGCTTTCACCCATTCCTGGGGTCTTCACAGAAATCAGACACCCGGTATGAGAAAACAGGTGTTGAAAGCTTCACTGGTCACTTCTAAGAGAATGATTACAACATAAAGAAATTCAAAGGATAATGTACAAAAACTGGGAGATCTTAACTAACGGGTATGAAAGATCACATAAAAATACTATTTCATGTTGATAAAGCAACATAGAGAGCCACTGTAGAAACTGTGATAAGACTTTATGAGAGCAAAACTAAATGAAAGGGGAAAACACAAACACCATTAAAAGAAAATAACTCAAGAGAGAAACAAAAAAGCACAGGAAAAATCTGAATTATCCTGAAAAAAAATGTTGACCAAAAAAACTGTTCTAAATACTAACTTTTAAAAGTTCAACTGAAACAACACACTGCTCATTCAAGAAGCCTACAAAAACATTTCTTTAAAAATTTCCATTTTAATAGTTTAACTTCATATTTGGAAAAGACTATAATAATTAGAATAACCTGTCTCTATTTAGAAATGCTCTATTAAAAAGGAGGCCAACACTAGGAACTTTGCTATTGCACAACAGAGAAAGTAAATGAAATAATGTCCATTAACAGTCAGTGTGGATGGCATGTTTCTCCACCTCCCAGAACATACGGACTTACACTATCTGACCCAAACAATCTACCACTTCTACATCCGTGCAGTAGCTCAAATAAAATGAGTTCCTGTGTTAATCCCACAATAAACCTCAGTAATTCTCACATCACAGTTGTAAACGTTTGTTAACAGAAAAAGAATGTTTTTCCCAAAATAGCTACATATCACTAAGACTACTCAAATTCCTAAATAATCCTTTTACAAGACTCCTGCCAACTTTATTTTGATACATTAAACATGTGGAGCCTATTTTAAAAGGTCTTTAACTGTGACTTCATGAAAACAGCTTCCTAGTTAGTTCATAAAATATCTTCTTTTTAAAGTTTTCACGTTGTTTTTAAGCTGACTTGAATAGAGATGAATCTGGGCCAGCTATCAAATGCTTAAGAAGCAGTTTTGCCAAATAAGATGGGCAAATGTTCTAGATCTGCTAAATCCGACATTAGAGGTCAGACAACTTAAAAAATGAAATAACTACTTTCAACATTCACTGAGCCCCTCGTTTTTAAAATTACCTCGGTGTCATTTTCACATCTGACGTTTAAGAATACAACCTGGTTTTTTTGTTTTGTTTTGTTTTGTTTTTCTTTTCTTTTTAAAGAATATTAGGCTCAGTTAAAAAAAAAAAAAAACTAATCTGCTGCAAAAAGCTGGTTAGTCAACTCTTGAAGGGTGTCTGAAGATTTGGATTGCTGGCGGTAGAAGTTTCATTTAAAAACTTCTCTGTTAAAAAGAATGACATCCGGAAAGGATCGTTGGAGAGAAGAAAGGGAAGAGAAGCCCGGAGTCGGCTAAGCGATTTAAAGCCACTAAGAAGGAAGGTGGTGGTGAGACGCACAGACAGAAGAGCGAGAAAAGAAGATTTAACAAGGAAGTGAAGTGGAGCGCAGAGGGGGGCAGAAACTGATGAAGAAACAAATGGGAAAGGTAAGGTTTTCGAATAAGCACGATCCAGGAAGGGATGAGTTAAGGCCTGGGGTAGCCCCGGTGTTTCGGTTTCAAAGAGATGCTCGCGTACTGGAAAAGAACGGGGGAAAGCAGTTTACTTCCAGGCGCTGGAGCAAAGTAAAATTCCCTGCCCCGAGCCTCTCCCAGACTCGGCCGAGCGCGGAGGCGGCGGCTGGGTAAGGGGCCTACCCAGGAGCCGGGCCCGGCGTTCTGCTCCCCCAGGCTCCACGGCAGAAGAGGCGAGGATAAGGCAAGCAGGGCCCGCGACCGTGGCCGGCGGCACCCCGAAAACAGTGCGGGGCCTCGGCGGTACCCGCGAGCCGTTTCCCCTGCGGCGGGGCGCCGAGCGGCCTTACCTGGGGCGAGGGAGGGAAGCGAGGTCTAGGGCGTCCGCTCTTGCCCGCCGCAGAGAACCCCTGATGCACTCAGCTCGGGCTTCCGACCGAGGCGCGACCCTGCCTCAGCCGCCGCTTCCCCGTCAGGGTCTCGGCCACCGCCTCCGCCGCCTCCGGGGCTGTTTACACCGTCGGGCCCCGCACGCCGCCGCCGCCGCCGCTGCCGCCTTCTCTCCACCCTAGCGCCGTTGCCGATTCGGCCGCCGCCACCTCCTCCGCCGCAGCCTCGTCTCTCTGGAGCATCTTCCAGCCACCGAACCCTGAGAAACAGAGACTCCAGCCGCGCCGGCAGGAAACTCCCCCGCAACTGCTAGGGGGACCAGGCGGTCAGAGCACCGGCGGCTTTTCCGCCATTGAGCAGCAGCCGCTCCGTTCCTTCTGCAACCCCCTCCCCGCACCCTGTCCTCCCCGCCCCTCGGCGAGCCCCGCCCCCAGCTCCCACCCATTGGGACGGTGCAGCCTCTCACTGCATTCGGTTGGTTAGCCGGCCCGTCAATCACCACCCTCCCTCCCACTTCGGCTGCTCTGTACCTCGGTACTTAGCTTTCCCCGCCCACAATGCCCCGCCTCTCAGGTCCTTATTTCCCATTGGGCATTAGTGACCACCTTCAATTGGCAAGGTCAACTATCCATCAAACACCGCCCACTGAGTGAGACCCAACCCTTCATTACCATTTACTTCACTCAGCCCCGCCTCTGGGCGTTAGGGACCAACCCACCCTAACAGCCATAAGTAGAGATCGCCATCAATCAAATAACGCCCACCTGCCCCTCCGCCTCGCAAAGACCGAGCCCTAGCGATTCTCTTTTCTTATTGGTCCAAAGGGTGACCCGAACCCTTAATCATTGGCTTTCCGTGCGTGTCCGTCACTGAACCAATTTCCAAGTCCGTCACACTGGCTTTTTTCAAATGAACGCTCAAAAGGCGGGGAAGTATCCAAATAGCGATTGGCTAGTCTTCGAAAACGGTCAAATCCAGAGTGTGTGCGGATCCTTCCCGTCCTACGAGAACCATGCCCCTTTATTTTTGACCTCTAAGCCGTGCGTGAAAGAAGCGCCATAACGGAGCCAACGCGCTGTCCGGTTATAGGTGTGGAAGCCTAGTCCCACCCGGAGTTACAGGGGGTTGGCTGCTGATTGGCTAACAAAGTCCTGTTAGGCCCTCATTGGAGGACATAAACGTCTCTCTTCGGCATAGCGTCAGACGGGAAGGGATGGCGCAGGGAAGGATAAGAAGGGGTCCGGGGAGAGGCAGTTGTTTTGCTTCAGCCGACGGGTGGGGCGAACGCGGGAGAGGGAAGCTCGGAACGCAGGGCTCTGGGGGAGGTGTTGCGGGGAGGGAAAAAGCCCGGATGTGTCTTAACAATGAAATCATCGCCGACCAATCAGAGCTGCTGAGCCAGGCTACCTGCCTGACCTGTCCACAGTAGGGAAGGGAATGAGTTAGTGAGCGGGAAATTGGGGTGTCAGGAGACGCTGGAAAGCGATGTGAGAAAATGGAACAGGTGATCCCTTTAAGAGGACGCTGTGCTGTTGTTGGGGGTTATTTTTATTCTTTCTAGGCCTGCAACGCCTGGCATTCAGCCCTTGACATTTCCGTGTTTTGATTCTCAGTCAACATTGATTTTTAAATCTCTCGGCCTAGTCTTTGACATTCATTCGTTCGTTCCACAATTATTGAGCTCCTGCTATTTGGCAGGCACTGTTCTGGAACTGGAGCTACAAAACTAAATTAGGCAATCCCACTACAAGATGGTAGGTGTTACCACTGAAACATGCAATGGAGGGTGGTGACATAAGGGATGGAGGGTGGTGACATAAGGGATCGTCCCTGTGGGTAAGTTTATCGAAGAAGGCTTCACAAAGAACAGTATGAGTCTAGCAGGAATGATTCAATAGTCAGAAGAGGGAAGTGGACAGCATTCCGTCAGCAACCGAATTAGACTAAAGGTATTGCAGATTAATTCCCTGCCAAAGAAACAAAACTTTAGTGTAATGAAAGTGTTCTAACACCTTAGGATACTTCCCCACACCCCCCGAAAGTGACCTGTTAAAGGAGTTAAACCTTATTCACACCTTTGTGTAAACTGGTTTGGACAGACAAGTTAAGCTAAGACCCAGCAGAGTGCCATTCTGATTAGGGGCTGTGGGTGTTTTTGGAATAAGGGCAAATTTAGGAATTGGCCAAGTCGTGGTGAGGATGGCAGAAATAAAGACTTGATTGTAGTTCAGATTTTTTTCATCTCCGCCCCCCAAATGTGCATAACGATAGTGGGGTTTTTTTTACAGTAGGGTGGCTGGACCACCAGCGCCATAATCACCCAGGGAGCAGATCCCTGGGTCTACTCACACCTGTAAGATCAGGGACTCCTGAAACAAAACTTGGAAAGGTGAATTTCTAAATTCTCCAGATGCGTTTTATTCACACCCATGACTGAGATCCTCTAGTACAGGTAATGGAGATAGCATAGACTAAAATTTAGTTTCCCTGCTTCTTCATGCAGGGAGGAAAAACAATAAAGAAGAAAGACAAGTAGGCCCTTTAGACTATGCCTTTCTCTTGTCCCCTTTACTATCAGTATCAGTTCTTAGGAAATATTCCTTAAATGACTTATAGAATACATTCCCTTAAATCACTCTCCTTTGTCTGACACACTTTATATATGGCAAAAGATGTCTAGGATCCCAGCTTCCAAAATAGCAATCTAAAGATCATAAAAGTGGAGACATTGTAGGACCTGGTCTTAAGAATTCGGGCAATCTCAGTAGGGCATCAGAGAAGTTTCTTGATCTGCCTGATTTCCTTCTCAGTTTCCCTTGGTTGACCCTGAAACTAATACAAAGCACAATCATCTAGGTGGGCTGATGATTGCACATCATTCATTCTTTTAGTCACTAAAAATATAGATGTACTGAATACTGGTCTAGGGACTAAGAATACAATAAGGATCAAAACACACTTAGGTTAACTTTAGGTGTTAGGTGTGCTTTATTTGATTAAAACTCCAAACTAATAAAGAAGGCCCAATAAGATTCAGAAATTTAAAAGGTAAATTGGTGTGTGCCATCATAAACATACAATGTATCACAAACATTGACTACCATCATAGGGGGCTCCATTACTGTGTGAATGCCGCTAGGCTAAGCACTCTGAGTCTTGTTTTATTGTTCAGTAAATAGGACTCACAAAATCTTCTGAAGCCAGGTAAAGAGCTTTAGATGCTGTTAATAATGCAAAGCACTTTCCAAAAGATAGTGCAAATAGTACTGAATGTATTATAGAAAAAGTCCTTTATTTTTATTTTTTATTTATTTATTATTTTTTATTTTTTATTTTTCCAGTGTTGGCTTTCATACTCTGGTGTTCCTTTTTATTTTTTTAAGATTTTATTTATTTATTTTGATGTGGGGCCCTATCTCACGACCCTGAGATCATGACCCCAGCTAAAACCCAGAGTTAGACATTTACAGACTGAGCCACCAACGTGCCCCTATTTTTTTTTTTAAGATTTATTTGTTGGGGCACCTGGTTGGCTCAGTGGGTTGATCGGTGGACTCTTGGTTTCTGCTTAGGTCGTGATCTCAAGGATCATGAGATTGGGTCCCACACGGGGCTCTGTGCTTAGAGGGGAATCTGCTTGAAGATTCTCTCTCTCTGCCACTCCCCCCACATGTGTGTGCTCTCTTTCTCTCAAATAAAATAAATAAATCTTTTCCTTAAAAGATTTATTTATTTGAGGGTGCCTGGGTGGCTCAGTTGAAGACTCTTTTCAACTCAGGTCATGATCTCAAAGGTCCTGACATGAAGCTGAAACCAAGAGTCAGAAACTCAACTGACTAAGCCACCACCTAGGCACTCCTGGTTTTCTTTTTTGAATAAGATATTAGGTATCAATGGTCTCCAAGTTTGGGGTGCCTCAGTTTTGCTGGAGTCCTAAACCCACACTTGATAATCTCTGCCTATACTCTGAAGTACTCTGCCTACTTCATGTAATTATTATAAAGATGAAACAGGATGTGGCATACAATAGTACCTAATATATTGGCTGTCACAGTTGAATCAGAATTTGCATATGTCCCATAGAAGAAAGTTCATGTATTCATTCAGCATATTTATATGCCTGTTAAGTGCAGGCCATTTTGGTCTCTCTGACAGGGAGCTTGGGTGTCAAACTTCAAGTAGTCCAGTTTCTACAGATTGATCCACTCCCCCTCTTAACCACCAGAAATACTCCATTGATAAACCTGTTTTCTTCATAAAAAAATATTTTTTTCACCATTTCCACTTAAGAAGTACAAATACGGGGGGCACCTGGGTGGCTCAGTGGGTTAAAGCCTCTGCCTTTGGCTCAGGTCATGATCCCAGGGTCCTGGGATCAAGCCCCGCATCGGGCTCCCTGCTCAGCGGGGAGCCTGCTTCCCTTCCTCTCTCTCTGCCTGTCTCTCTGCCTACTTGTGATCTCTGTCAAATAAATAAATAAAATCTTTAAAAAAAAAAAAAAAAAAGAAGTACAAATACGGGACTCCTGGGTGGCTCAGTTGGTTGGACGACTGCCTTCAGCTCAGGTCATGGTCCTGGAGTCCCGGGATCAAGTCCCGCACTGGGCTCCCGGCTCCATGGGGATTCTGCTTCCCTCTCTGACCTTCTCCTCGCTCATGCTCTCTCTCACTGTCTCTCTCTCAAATAAATAAATAAAATCCTTAAGAAAATAAAAAAAGAAGTACAAATACTTCTTAAGCATTCACTGTGAATCAGATACTAATAATCAGGTAAATAATAGGCACTGCTGCCTTTGAAATTAATTAGCTATGATATTGTGATATAATAAGATATATATATATATATTTAATCTTCATCCCAGTTCCTGGCAGAGAACTTCTAAGATCCTCATCATTTTGTGCATGATAGGAGTAAGGAGAGCATTTTTGTTGTTCATAAGAAGCGCCTCCTTTTTCTTAAGTAAGCTCTAGGCCCAACATGGGGCTTAAACTCAAGACCCTAAGATCAAGAGTCACATGCTCTACCACTGAGCCAGCCTGGTGCCCCATAAGAAGCCTTTTTGAACCCCTGAAGTTACGCTGATGAGGGAACTCATAGAGGATGGCTGCTTGCCTGAGGAAGAAAGTATGTAATGAGAAGGTGGGAACTTTCAGCCTCACTCCCTATTTCTGGGGAGGGCAAAGGAGATGGAAATGTTCTTAATCAGTGATTAAGATATAATCAGTCATGCTTATGTAATGAAGCCCCCATAAAACCCCTACATGACTGGGTTTTGAGAACTCCTGGGGTGGTATACACACTGAGGTGCTAAGAAGGTTGTGATCTTGGTGAGGCCAGGGAAGCTCTATCCCTCTTCCCATGTAGCACGCCCTGTGCATCTCTTCCATTTGG